TGAACCACTGAAACTACACCTGAACCACTGAAACTACACCTGAACCATAGAAACTACACCTGAACCACAGAAACTGCACCTGAACCACAGAAACTACACCTGAACAACTGAAACTACACCTGAACCATAGAAACTACACCTGAACCATAGAAACTACACCTGGACCATAGAAATACACCTGGACCACTGAAATTACACCTGAACCATAGAAACTACACCTGAACCATAGAAACTGCACTTGGACCATATAAACTGCACTTGGACCATATAAACTACACCTGGACTATAGAAACTACACCTGGACCATAAAAAGTACACCTGAACCATAGAAACTAGACCTGAACCATAGAAACAGCACCTAGACCATAGAAACTACACGTGAACCATAGAAACTGCACCTAAACCATAGAAAATACACCTGAACCATAGAAACTGCACGTGGACCACAGAAACTACACGTGGACCACAGAAACTGCACCTGAACCATATAAACTGCACTTGAACCATAGAAACTACACTTGAACCATAGAAACTGCAATTGGACCATAGAAATTACACGTGAACCATAGAAACTACACGTGAACCATAGAAACTACACCTGGACCATAGAAACTACACTGGAACCATATAAACTACACCTAGAACATATAAACTAAACCTGGAGTCCTGGGCCATAGAAACTACACCTGGAACATATAAACTACACCTAGACCATAGAAACTACACCTACACCATAGAAACTACACCTAGACAAAATAAACTACACCTGGACCATAGAAACTACACCTGGACCATAGAAACTACACCTGGACCATAGTAACTACACCTGGACGAGCCATTCTGTGATTGTCAGTCTCTTTCCTGTCAAATCCCAGTCAGTCAAGATAGATGGTTGCCTATCCAGAGCCCGGTTCTAGTGGAGGTTTCTTCCTGTTCCAAGGGAGTTTTTCCTTTCCACTGTTACCTTTGTGCTTTTTCAGGATGGGCGAATGTGACGAAGTGAAGATTCAACACAATCTGCTGGCTTCCTTAGATAGATAACTTTTACTAATTTGCTCATTTGGCAGCATGATGGCTCAGTGGTTAAAACTGTTGCCTCACAGCAAGAAGGTCTTGGGTTCAATCCCCGGTTGGACCTGGGGTCTTTCTGGGTGGAGTTTGCATGTTCTTCTCGTGCTTGCGTGGGTTTTCTTCGGGTACTCCGGTTTCCTCCCACAGACAAAAAACATGCATGTTAGGCTGCCTTCAGGCCCAGGCCTCCCTTGCAAAAGAAGTCTATGATCTGATCTCAATGGGATTTGCCTGGTTAAATAAAGGTTAATAATTTGCATTTTATAATGTATGTGAATGCTTTTCGACAGTGCCATGAGATTACTTTGTTGTGAATTGGTTTTATATTAACTGAATTGATTTTAATTACCAACATAAGCTAATTAGTTTATTATAGCTTCCTGCCCCAAATGTCAAAGGTTTGAGCAACAGTTTGTACAATCTGCTAACCTTTAAAGTATGTCGTAAGAATGAGCCCAAGCCACCACCACACTAACTTTTAGCTCAATATCTGTAAAAACGACTGCATCACAGTCATTTTTATGGTTGCTAAGTTCAATTAGTTATGGCAGCCAGCCTGAACCAGCTTGACTCCAAAGGTTAATGGGTTCAAAATGTACACCTAATAAGTAGTTTCTGAAAGTTTCATTAAACTTCATCCAACAGTTCAGTAGATTTTTCTAATAGACTAATAAAAATAGAATCACAGACAAGATTATTGCATTATTGCCAGCAAATAAAAATAGCCAGTGTAATATAAATAAGTGCTAAGTAAAATACCTACATAGTTTTTGTTTTTCTGGTCAACAATGAATTATCATGATTTTAAGTCCAGCTACTTTTAGATTTACAGCCTCAGAAGCAGCTACGGTTGTTTGCAGGCTTGTTGATTTGTCTATTTTATTTTTATTTCAGCTTCTGCAACCAAAACACTACTAAAATGTTTTTTGTCACAGCAATTTGCAAGCATTAGTCTGTTTATTGTGCAAACATGTGACGGAGTGTCTCTTCTACACTTACCTTATATGCCAACACTTTCTCCCTGAACGGTCGACAGAAATACAGAGCCTGCAGCACTGAATTACAGTAGCAGGTGTTTCCAAACTAGAAAAAAAAGAGAAAAAGAAGAAGAGATGGTCAAGATTGTTTGAACAAGTGTGTATTTACATTTTCCTGTGAGGAGGAGTTCGGCCTCTGTATTACTACAACAAGTGTACCACATATGGCACATTGTCGACAAAACTATCATGCAACAATATAATGGTGATGCATATATGCACCAAGTTTTGTTCAATTATCTTGAACCTTAGTTTTGGAGTGCAGGTCTGACACTAAGTGGACCCTCAGCAAGATCTATACACTGCTCAGCTCATACCATGAGACCAGTTTGAACTCTCTTAAACTGAAATGGGAAATGGACTTGGAGGAGTCCATATCAGACTCAACCTGGAGAAAGATCGTTAAGAAAAGTTACTCATCCTCAATCTGTCTGAGACACGTTGTAATTCAGTTCAAGGTGGTGCACCATCTGCATTGTTCAAAGACATGTTGTCCAAGAATAAACCTGACCTGGATCCCGCATGTAATCGCTGTAAACAAACTCCATCTACGCTCTTACATGCTTCCTGGAATTGTCCAAAGCTGTTGGGCTATTGGCAATCTATGTTTGATACTTTCTCTGGGATATGTGGAAGAACTGGGTATCCATCACCATTCATTTCATTGTTTGAAGTGATCCTTGTGGATGCATCCCTCAGCAAGTAAGAGAGGAATATGATTGCTTTTGGCTCTCTTCTAGTCAGGAGACTTATTTTGTTCAGATGGAAGGATCCACATCCCCCGGCATATATGAACACTGGATAAGAGAAGTTAAGTGTCATATTCATTTGAAAAAGATTAGATACACTTTGAGGGGATCTGGTGGGAGTATTTGGGACACTTGGTGGCCATTTGTGTTGTATAATGAAACTGTCAGTACCTGTCTGACATATGCATGCCTGTACAGCCGATCCGGTATGGGAGGGGTAGGGTGGGAGGGGGGTTTGTTTTATGTTTTTTTGTTTGTTTGTTGCTGTTGTTTTCATGTGTGTGTATTATTAATATAAAAAAATAACAATATGAAGACTGATAAAAAATTATTTTGAACCAGAACATGTGGCTTGGAAGAGACGAACCTTATTTGACATTTGACCTTGCTTTGTGACTTTGACCTTGGAGCTGGGGTGACGAACAGTGTACCTGACACTGTCTAATGATGATGCATAGGTGTATGTAGTTTCATTACATTATCTTGAGCAGATGAAACGTTATGGGCGGGACAAGAAAAAGTCTCCGTACATCCGAACGTTGGAACAGAGACTACCATAATACGACCGTCTTTCAATGGCCGTCTAAAAAAAATGCTCCGCGGTCCAACTGAATGTGCTTATCTACGTGCAAGTTTGAATCAGCAAAGAACCAGAAACGCTTGGAGCTGTGCATCTTTACTGAAAATTTCAATGCACTGAAGATTTGTTTGCCGTTTCTTCCGATGTGTTAGAAGCAGGACAAAGACATGTGAGGTGTGAGATCAGGGACACTTACATTGACCAATCCGAAGTAATGTTCATTTACTGGAAACTGTTCAGGTCCAATCTCCTTTTCCAAGGCAGAGGCATTGGCGCCCTGGTAAACAGAAAAAGAAGACAAAATTGATGTTTTCCTATCGAGTTTTCTCACATTAGTTGAGATGAGTAGGGATGTACGATATTATCGGCATGGCATTAATCGGACGGTATTAGCAATAAAGTTAAATATCGGACATCCCATTAAAATAACTCACAAATATAAAAGACAGTTTTATTTATTTATTTAAT